TTTATAAGTGTTCTATAAGCAAATTTCAATGTTTTTGGGATATATATGTAAATACATAAGATTTGTTTGTTATGCATGTAAATCCCAATAAAGACAAAGTGAGTGAGGAACAGTTGGAGATGTGGAGGAAGAATGGGAGTCTAACACAGGGATACATAAGATGAATAAATTCAAATTTCTCTTCTAAAAAATGCAAAATTTTTTGAAAGACTATATGAATTTATCTTAAGCCATCAGTGAAAACCTACGACATCAATACTTTTGTGTCTTTTCACTAGTAAAGGTTAATTTCGTCATTTATGATATTTGAAGTAGGGGTGCAAATGAGCCTAGCCAGCTTATGAGCCAGCTCAAGCTTGGTTCGTTAACTTGCTCACAAGTCGAGATTATTGAGCCACGAGCTCAAACTTGAGCTCGTTTATTTAAGCTTGAGCTTGTTCCGACTCGACTCTTCAACTCGCGGGCCAGCTCAATTAGTCTTCTCCTAGTCATTTCGATGCATTTTCTGGTGAGCTCCCAGTGCGTCCTCCTCCTCTTCTGGCAACCAATGCCTAGTCTGGCGAGCTTTAGTAAAAATTGAGTTTTTAGTTCAAGCTCATGAGCCGGCTCGCTCTCAGGCTGCTTCTAGTACAAGCAGCACAAGCTCACAGTTTGCCAGATGAGCCGAGCTCGGCTTGGCATGCCTTGAGCTTAGCATGACTCACTTGCACCCCTAATTTGGAGCACCGTATAGTTTTAACTATATGGTTTGCTAGCTTATTATATATGCATGCTTGCTTTTGATTAGGCAATGTTGAAATTATTTGTTGACTAATTTTGCAATTTCATTATTATTATTATTATTATTATTATTATTATTATTATTATTATTAAAAGTTTTAATTTTACGTTTTTTTGTATTTTTCCATGAACTAATGATCTTCATTTACTGTTCGTCAATAATAGAGGATTATTGTCGGATTTCTGTACATTTTTTTCGTCAATAATGTAATTTACGTCGAATTTATGTTGAAAAATTTTGATGTTGTTTTTTTGCATCAGGTTTGCGTCTTATTTGAGTCGATTAATATCGAAACTCTTCGTGGATCTACTTTTTGTGTTGAACGTAAAGTTTTCGCATTTGATTTCAGGCGGAGTTGCGACATATAATATCGAAGACCAGCGAGAAATAACTATCGTGTGCACCTACTAGATAACTCAGTATTAGTTATATTTTGCAGGGGTATTTGCATAAACACCACCAAATCCTAATGAATAATACCATAAACATTACTTTTTTACATTTATACCATCAAGATCTCCCATTTCATATTAAAAATACTATCATTTCAACTTAAAAAAAAAAAAAAGTAAAATACAACATTAATGCATAGGATGGATGGTATATATATGTAAAAAATAAAGTTTAGGTGCTAGATATTTAATTACTTGAATGCTCGTGCACCAAATGTGAGCTACCGCGTGGTTGATGTTGTGGTTGAAGTTGTTGCATAAGACTTCGCATCTCCGCACAAAAAGATGAAAAATTTTGCATCTCATCACACACAAAAGAACTCTAGCAACTCAGCTCTCACATTTTGCAACTCTTATAATTTTGTGACCCGGGCGAAGCTATTACCTATATTGCTCTCACCTACGGTTGTAATATGCTCTTCGCATCATCATTTTCATGTTCGGGTGTCAAACCCTCATGGGCCAGATGATCACAGGCTTAAGTTCATAACATGTAATATATACTTAGTCATAAAAAAGAAAATTTTGAAGTTAATAATTCAACTAAAAAATTTATTAATACCCATTTCAACTGGGCAATCTCTGATGACCAAGATCCAGCTTTGCCCATAATGAAGTGTGATATTTACTAGTTGGGTGAAACCGTAGCCCTCCCGGATCATTATGAAGTGTGGTATATCATCAGTTGACACTATTAGGGTGCATCTACTCCTGATGGCATGTTCTCCGAGATGTCCTCAAGTGGTGTACTACCCCAATATTGAGCCTTCAAGGAACTTCTATGATTAGCCACTTAACTCTAAGAGATTGGAGAAACCACCCTCGTACAATGCCTGAAATTTCAACCTTCAACTACAAAGAGAGCAATAACTTATTAAATAATTAATAACAATAGTAAAAAGGTACTACTGGAGGTTCACAAATATCTATATTGCCTCTACTTTAGCAAACATTTTCTTTTTAAATGGCTCCATTCATTTATTGTGCCTATCTCAAAATGATATTGGTGCTAGCATTGAATCTCTAGCAAAAATTTCAAGATATGAAGCTATTAGTGTAGGTTTTGCGAGGTTGCATGGAATGTTGTTATCATTCGTCTCTCTTGTGATATGTATAAATATTTAAAATGATCGACGACGAAGTGAAAATAGCATGAAAAAAATTTATACCAAAAGAACACACAGATTTACATGGTTCAGAAAATTGCCTACATCCACAGAGTTGTAGAGGATTTTATTAATTGAGGAAATTACAACAGTGGATTGTCTCCAATTACAAGAGCGAACTCTTTCTCTCTGTCCTTCACTCTTCTCTCTACACCGAGATATACCGAAGAAGAAAAAAAAAACGTACAAAAGAAAAAAAACTATTTCTCTTCTGCCACAATCCACCAAGAAGAAATCAAAGAGAGCAACCTTCTTCTTCCACTATTTTCTTCTTCCTTCTGCCAAGTACGCAGAAACAATTAAGAGAGAGAGCCTCAAGAAGAACACACATTTTTCTGCCTTCTGCTTCTGCTTCCCGTATGCCTTAAGAAGAATCCAAGAATCGAAGCCGGGAATCTCCGCGAACTGAAGGAAGGCTTCTTTCGCGAACTGAAGGAGGCGGAGACGTGAGGAGGAGCAACCTGTTTTCGCGAGCGTGAGGCGAAGACCAGAGATCAGAGCGTTAAGTTTCGTGAACGTGAAGGAGGAGGAGACGATTTTCGCGAATCGGGGAGAGGGAGTCGGGGTTCGGTTACAGGAGACAGGGGAAAATTTTTTTTTTTTTTTTTTTTTTAATTTACTTACCGGGCTCCACCTCAACAGTCTCAATATGAATTCATTTACTTGGTGTCACGTTCTGAATATCCGCACAAGTAGTATGTCCCCTAGGTCTCGCTAACATGTTGTGATCATCTACAAATTCAATTTAATTATGAAGTTAAACACATTTACAAATTAAATTAACCATTAAGAACTAACAAGTTATGATGAAAGTTGGATTAAAAACATAGAAATAAAAATAAACATACATACAAGCCAAACTCCATCGTGATGAGGAGCGTCATCTCATGAACTATGAAAGGAAGACAATTGTTAAGTGTGTCATCATTGAGGTCATGTTCTTCATAGTCAGGTTGGAGGGGTGTAGATTGAGTATTCAATGATCTACTACTCTCAGGTAGGTTAGAATCAACCCTTGATGCAATTATTTCAACTATCATTAGTGAATGCTCATTAATTATCTCCATAAATTAAAATCTATTAGTATAATCTATTTTTTAAAAAACTTTAAATAATGTAGAAAGAATAATTCTAACATAAACAAAATTGCATGAAAATGAAAAATAAATAAAGCAAAATTACATAAATTTTATGTTTAAGGTAAACAGCTCTCAAATATTTTTTCAAAAGTTACAAATACTCTTAAAACACAGACAATACTGCAAGATTTAAGAACTTACGATTCATGTGACCGTTCTATCTCATTTATTCATTTGTAGAAGTTATACCATAATCAAACACATATCTTTGTATAACTCTTACAATTAAATTCTAATTTGTGTTCTTAAGATCTTGAACAAAGAAAACTTGATCCATTTGAGAGGAGAAAACAAATGGATCGTGCTCTAACTTCTCTCTTGTATGTATTAAACTTGAGAAAATAACCCAAGTTAATCCAATGAACTTTTTTCATGCATGTGGTATTTGTACTTACCCAATCACATTTGAAAAATACAACTTGAAAGAAGTTAGAGATATAGAAGTAATGATGTTGTTCAAATGACCATAATAATTGAAATCACCAATTTTTGTGGTATTAACGAGGCCATAATTTTGATAATTTTAATTATCATCGTTTGTTTTGGTTTAAAATTTATACTCATTTATAAAATATCATTTATATTTTTGAGCAACTTTGTTAGGGTCATTTGCAAATGCCTTAATTTTCTTAAATATCAAAGAATAATTAGCAATGTTATCTGTGAGAAAACATAGATGTTTTCATAAAATTACATTAATTAGTTCTTTAAGTTCTAATGAAACATATGTTTCATTTGAACCATTCGTGAAATATTTCTTTCATAAACTTCTCAATGTATGAGGAATTCAAATTTATGCATGTGTGTCTCTTTTATTGCTCATAGACAATAAAAGCTTCCCTATAAGATGTGATATTATCACAATGTTGAAGAACCTATCTATGTGCTTGAACTAAGGATATGTCATTGAGAGAAAATGATGCTATCTGACCCAATGAAATTTCTCCACTAAAAAAATTATAATGTATTTTTTCTTTGTCACATGGCCCTAATGACATATGGGTTATATGAAACCCCTCCATATATCCAAAGCAAAAATATGAACCCTCCTCAGCTATATATCCCTTTGTAATTGACCCCTCAAGCTATGCTTTATTTTCAACATAATATTTAAGTATTGAGAAGAACCTCTCTCTCTCTCTCTCTCTGTGTGTGTGTGTGTGTGTGTGTGTGTCTATGTGTGTTGTGGTTATCCATAGCTCAACAATTTTTAGAATTAAGTTATAAGTAATTTCATAATACCTCTCGAATGAATACAACCATCTATAATGCACAAGT